AAATCTTACATTTTGAATATTGCTATCTTATGATCTTTTTAATTATCGCATGACTTGCTGACAATGTATCATTCATCAATTAAATATTGACATTTGAAAAAAGAAAAACTACTCGCATTTATTTAGTTTTCGGAAAGAAATATAATAGTGAAAATTAAAAAAGAATATGAGTGATTGGATTGATGATGTAATAGTGTGTCTACCTTACATAAGTGTAAACTTATAACATTTTAATGTTTGAGCTCTTAGATGTTTTGAAAAGCTGGCCCAATTAGAGGTTTGGAGGGAATTGAAGAAAATACTCAACTCGTGAAGTTCAATTGTAGAAGGATAGGGAATTTCTTCGTACTCTTATGATGTATGTGAGATTTTGTGGCATTGACATTTTAGAACAGTTGGTAGTGATCCCACAAAGTCTTACATGGTATAAAAGCTGGAGGTCCTGAGTTTAAATCTTTCCAGACCCTATTTGCCTCCCCAATTAAATTTGTTTACGCTTAGTAACAAGCGAAAAAACTAGACTAAGCGTGAGTGGAGTGTTAGAATAATTAAATATTAAACCACGCATTCTTCTAATATATTAAGCTTTTAAAACCATTAACAGTGGTCCCAAAAAATCTCATATGATATCAGAGCTGAAGGTCCTCAGTTCAAATCTTTTCGGGGCTCCATTTACACTACAAAAAAACAAGGGTTTAGCCACGGAAATTTGCGACGAATTATTTTTCGTGGCTAATTGCGACGCAATTTGCGACGAATATATTTTCCGTCGCAAATTAGCGACGAAAAATAATTCGTCGCAAATTTCCGACGATTTTTGCGACGAAAAAAAATTCGTGGCTAATTTTCGACGGAATCTGCCACGGATTAAAAATCGTCGCAAATTTGCGACGAAATTTACCACGAAAAAAAATTCGTGGAAAATTTGCGACGGATTTTCCCACGAAAAAAATTCGTGGCTAATTTGCGACGGATTTTGCCACGAAAAATAATTCGTGGCTAATTTGCGACGGAATTTGCCACGAAAAAATATTCGTCGCTAATTTGCGACGGAATTTGCCGCGAAAAAAAATTAATGGCTAATTTGCGACGATATTGCCGACGAATCTTTTTCCGTTTCTAATTTGCGACGAAAAATAAATGTCGTCGCTAATTTGCGACGAAATTTCCCACGAAAAAAAATTCGTGGTTATTTTGTGACGGAATTAGCGACGAATTGTTATTCGTCGCTAATTCTCCTCTACTTGTAGCCCCAATTTCTCTCTCTCTGCTAATTCCTCTTATCCCTATTAGCTGTTCTCCCTTCCTCTCCCTATTCGTTGTTATCCCTTCCTCTCGATAAATCTCTCCGCACGCGCAAAAATCTATCTCGGTGAACCTTTTCTACTGGTAAGTGGTGTGATTAATTTGGGCAAAACTATTTTCAATTTTTTGTTATTTTATTGAGTTTTTTTTTTCTCTTTTTTTTTTCTGACTTCGTCGCCAGTCGCCGGTCCGGCAACCGGCGACCGGCAACCGGCGAGGCTCGCCGGCCATGGGCGGGGCGCTGGACCTCGCCCGGATCCGGGCGAGGTCGAGCGGCCTCGCCATGGGGCCCGGCACCTTTGGACCTCGCGGCGAGGTCCGGCGGCGGCCATGGCCGCTCGTCCTCGCCGCGAGGTCAGGGCGCGGCCATGGCCGCTCGACCTCGCCGCCCGGATCCGGGCGGCGAGGTCGAGCTTGGGCCTCGCCATGGCCACCGCGAGGTCCGAGGCGGCGGCCATGGCCGCCGACCTCGCCGCGAGGTTCGGCGGCGGCCATGGCGAGGTCGGCGGCCATGGCGCCGGACCTCGCGGCGAGGTCGAGCGGCCATGGCCGCGCCTGGACCTCGCGGCGAGGTCGAGCGGCCATGGCGCGGCCGGACCTCGCGGCGAGGTCGAGCGGCCATGGCCCGGCCGGACCTCGCGGCGAGGTCGAGCAGCCATGGCCGCCGGCGGACCTCGCGGCGAGGTCCAAGTGGCCATGGCCGCTACCTCTTGGACCTCGCGGCGGAGGTCGAGCGGCGGCCTTGGCCCCGGACCTCGCGGCGAGGAGGTCGAGCGGCGGCCGGCCTTGGACCTCGCCGCGAGGTCAGATCTGGCCGGCGAGGTCCAACTCGCCGGCCGGTCGCCGGTCAATTTTATAAAAAAATCTGAAGTCAATTTTTTTTTGTAGGTACGTATTCGTTTGAAAGTCTCGCGGATGAAGTGAACGTTGCAATTCTCATCAAATTGAGCACTTTGTACTACAAAGATTTCAGTCAAATACTTGGTAAGTCAATTATTTTAATTTTTTCAATTTCAAAATAATTGTTTAGGTAAAAATAAAATTTTAATTTTTAGAATTTTATGGTTTTAATATCGAAAATTTTTTGGCATTAATATTTTACGAGATTTTGTTTTTTTTATATAGACAATGCAAAGAGACAGGGCTTGGATGTATAATAAGAACTTACCTGGACATCGAGGATTGACCGATGAGTTTCATACTGGGTTGGAACTATTTTTGGACTTTGCTAGTAGTAAATATGAGTTGATGGATGGAAATAAGTTAAGGTGTCCGTGTAGAAAGTGCAGTAATGGTAAATTTCATGTATGTGATACAGTTAGAGAACATCTTTGTAGATTTGGGTTTACTCCGAACTACTATAATTGGACTTGTCATGGTGAACCATTTATATCTGACGAAGGATATCGAATAAGTGACCAATTTTCAGTTAGGGAAGAATGTAGCTATTATGACCAAATGAACCCATATCAGAGGATGGTGATTGATGCAGCTGGTCATAATTCAGATCCAAACCATGCAAGTACTAGTTTTACTCCAAGACTTGAACAATTTGAAGAGATAGGAGTAACAGGTTTTGATGAGAATGTGTGTAATGAAACGTTTCCATCTAATCGGTTCGGGAAGTGTTGAAAGCGAGCGAGATGAACCTTTATGGGCGAGGTTGTGACAATCATACTCGGTTATCGGCGAACAAGATTGTTAAATATCAAGGCGAGCATAATGTGTCCGAGAATTGCTTTAACTCTTTTGTTGAAGTAATGCGAGAAGCAATGCCTCCCGATAACATAATGCCAAGTGATTTTACGATATGAAGAAGTTAGTGGATAACTTAGGTCTTCCGAGTTGAAAGGATTGATGTATGTAGTAGGGGTTGTATGTTATATTGGAGAGATGATGAAAATGCAGAATCTTGCAAATTACGTAGCCAACCTAGGTACAAGATTAACAGAACGGGAGGCAAGGTCGTAATCGAAGCGTAGACCATGCAAGCAAATGTTTTATCGCCCTTAATCCCCAGATTACAAAGGCTTTATGCGTCTCAAGCCAGCTTCTTGAACACATGACTTGGCATGCAAATCATGAAACAGAAGAGGGTCTAATGTGTCATCCTTCAGATGCAGAGGCATGGAAACATTTTGATAGAACATACCCTGAATTTGCGATAGAGCCTCGAAATATTAGGTTAGGTCTCTGTGCTGATGGATTTGCCCCATTTGGAAAATCAGGGAAAAGTTATTCATGTTGGCCAGTTATCTTAACTCCGTACAATCTTCCACCCGGTATGTGCATGAAAACACCTTATATGTTTTTAACATTGATCGTGACCGGGCCGCAAAATCCGAAAAAGTTGATAGATGTTTATATGCAACCATTGATTGAAGAGTTACAACGGCTATGGAATGAAGGTGTCGTTACGTATGATGTTTCTACTAATCAAACATTTGTAATGAAGGCTGCTCTTCTTTGGACGATAAATGACTTTCCAGCTTATGGAATGTTATCTGGATGGAGTACAGCTGGGATCTTAGGATGTCCGATATGTTTGGAGATGTCGAAGTCATTCAGATTAAGACATGGTAAGAAGCCTTGCTATTTTGACTGTCACAGACAATTTTTGCCGATGAATCATACATTCAGAAGGAATAAAAAAGAGTTCATGAAGAATAGGATTGAAAGAACTCCTCCACCATTGAGGTTGACTGGTGATCAAATATGGGAGCGAGTGCAGGACTTTCCAACTGTTGTTGAAAACCCTCATGGCACAACTATTGCGTACGGAAGTGCACATAAGTGGACTAAACGCAGTATATTTTGGGATCTATCATATTGGAAAGCTCATCTTATTCATCATAATCTTGACGTTATGCACATTGAAAAGAATGTTTTCGACAATGTCATAAATACTGTGATGGATGTCACGGGAAAAACAAAAGACAACTTGAATGCAAAAAAAGATATGAGAGATATTTGTGATCGGCCAACATTAGATGTGGATGCAAGCAGCGGGGGACCAAAACCAAAAGCGGTTTATACATTGGATAAGGAGCGAGAGACGAGTCGTTTGTCAATGGTTGAAATATGTGCGGTTTCCTGATGGATATGCTTCGAACATCGGGAGATGTGTTGATTTGAACGAATGCAAGTTGACAGGATTAAAGAGTCATGATTGTCACATATTTATGGAAAGACTAATTCCAATAGCTTTGAAGGAACTTCTACCAAACTTTGTATGGGGCGCCATTACAGAGTTAAGTAATTTCCTCCATGATATTTGCTCAACAGTGTTAAAAGTATCACACATGGAGAAACTGGAGAGAGACATTCCAATTATTCTTTGCAATTTAGAAAGGATATTTCCTCCAGCGTTTTTTGATTCAATGGAGCATCTCCTAGTTCACTTGCCTTATGAGGCTAAAGTTGCAGGTCCCGTCCAATTTCGATGGATGTATCCATTTGAGAGGTAAAATTTTTTTCAAAATAAAATTCAAAATACTTTATTATATATTATGTTCTGATAAACTTCTTTCTATTGCAACAAGGTTCTTATATCATTTGAAGAAAAAAGTGAAGAATAAGGCATGTGTTGAAGCTTCAATTTGTAATGCATATATTGTGGAAGAAGTGACAACATTTGCATCATACTATTTTGAGCCGCACGTGCAGTGCAAGAGGCGGAGAGCGGGGAAGAAATGATGAGGGTCCCATCGATCCCAATTGCAAATCATTCTCTATTTTCAATTATCTCGGTCGACCAAGCGGCGCATGTCAGTTTCGTTACTTAACAGGCGAAGAACGGCAGGCCGCCCATACCTATATTTTACTGAACTGTCCAGAAGTGGAGCCATACTTCCAGTAAGTGTATATTTTTGCAAATATATGTATTGCGTGTCAAATATTTACTAATATTTAAATGTAAATTGTTAATAGGATTTTTCAAAATTCAATGTATGGACTACCACCAAATGAGTTCGACCGTTTGTGCGATGAACAATTTGCAGCATGGTTCAAAACATATGTAAGTTGCCTATAGACCAAAACCAAGTTATTAATATTTTATACATCATTTAAATATATATTATTGACTTTGCGTGTGTAATCTTAGGTTCACAGTAATCATGATCAAGTTGAAGAGCAAGGATTACTATATTATCTGTCATGGGGTCCACAGTCAAGCATACGAAGTTGGCCAGCATATTTCATAAACGGGTACAATTTTCACACTCGAGAATATGGAATGGAAAAAGCCACAATGAATAGTGGTGTGTGTGTTCGGTCATCCAATTGTGGTAGTTCAAAAGATGATTTTTATGGCTTGTTGGATGAAATCATCGAGATAGAGTACCCCGGACCATCAATGCGGGTTGTGTTATTTAAGTGCATGTGGTTCGACCCCGTCAAAGGAACGAAGGTACATACGAAGTTTAATTTGGTTGAAATAAATCACAAGAAAAGGTATAAGAAATATGAACCATTTGTGTTGGCACAACAAGCAATTCAAGTATATTATGCATCATATCCTAGTTTGAAACATGACAAAGCTGATTGGTGGGCTGTATGTAAAACCAAAGCACGAAGAAAAATCGAGGAACACTGGAAGGATACAGCATATCAACAAGAGGAAGTTTATAATGCGGTTCAAACTGAGGAATATAACATTCCTACTCTACGAGATCCATGTGGAGCAATGATAGATGTAGATTTAACTGAAATTCGCGAATCAAATTTAGAAGGTGTTGCAGAAGCTGATTTTCAGACAGAGGATGATGATGATGATGATGATGATGACGACGACGACGATGACGATGATGATGACGATGATGACGACGACGATGATGACGATGATGCTGAACAAGAAGATTCAGATCAAGATGAAGACGAAGGTGAAGACGAAGATTTAGATTTTTGAGACTTTTTACAAATTATGTCGTAATTATTATTATTATTATTATTATGACAAAGTTTATTGTTGTTGTCATATTTATTATTGTTGTTGTTGCTGTAATTATTAGTATTGTTGTTGTTGTAGTTATTATTATTATTATTATTGTAATTGTTGTTGAATATTATTATTGCTATTATTGTTAATGAAACGTCATTGTCCGGAAAAAAAAAAAGAATTACGCGAGTGTGGTATAGTAGAAATGAAATTCGTGGCTAAAATCAGTGGAAAATTTGCCACGAAATTTAGCCACGAATTTCATGAAAAAATCCCACTCACAAGGCTAAGTAATTTTTCATGAAAAGCCAAAAATTAATTTTAGGAAATTCGTGGCAAAAATCCGTGACAATTTACCACGGATTTCGTAAACAAAGGCCGTATGCATGATTTAGGCTTTTTTTAGGAAATTCGTGGCAAAAATCCGTGGCAAATTTGCCACGGATTTTAGCAACGGATTTTTTAAAAAAAAAATTCTATTGTATTCTTTTTTAGGAAATTCGTGGCAAAAATCCGTGGCAAATTTGCCACGGATTTTAGCCACGGATTTTTTTTTAAAAAAAATTCTATTATATTCTTTTTTAGGAAATCCATGGCAAAAATCCGTGGCAAATTTGCCACGGATTTTAGCCACAGATTTTTTTTAAAAAAAAATTCTATTGTATTCTTTTTTAGGAAATTCGTGGCAAAAATCCGTGGCAAATTTGCCACGGATTTTAGCCACGGATTTTTTTTTTAAAAAAAATTCTATTGTATTCTTTTTTAGGAAATCCGTGGCTAAAATCCGTGGCAAATTTGCCACAGATTTTAGCCACGGATTTTTTTTAAATTAAAAAAAAATTCTATTATATTCTTTTTTAGGAAATCCGTGGCAAAAATCCGTGGCAAATTTGTCACGGATTTTTTTTAAAAAAAAAATTCTATTGTATTCTTTTTTAGGAAATCCGTGGCAAAAATCCGTGGCAAATTTGCCACGGATTTTTTTTAAAAAAATTCTATTGTATTCTTTTTTAGGAAATTCGTGGCAAATTTGCCACGGATTTTAGCCACGGATTTTTTTTAAAAAAAAAAATTATATTGTATTCTTTTTTAGGAAATCCGTGGCTAAAATCCGTGGCAAATTTGCCACGGATTTTTTTTTAAAAAAATTTCTATTGTATTCTTTTTTAGAAAAATCCGTGGCAAAAATCCGTGGCAAATTTGCCACCGATTTTAGCCACGGATTTTTTTAAAAAAAAAATTCTCTTGTATTCTTTTTTTGGGAAATTCGTGGCAAAAATCCGTGGCAAATTTGCCACGGATTTTAGCCACGGATTTTTTTTAAAAAAAAATCTATTGTATTCTTTTTTAGGAAATCCGTGGCTAAAATCCGTGGCAAATTTGCCACGGATTTTAGGCACGGATTTTTTTTAAATTAAAAAAAAATTCTATTCTATTCTTTTTTAGGAAATCCGTGGCAAAAATCCGTGGCAAATTTGCCACGGATTTTACCCACGGACTTTTTTTAAAAAAAATTTCTATTGTATTCTTTTTTAGGAAAATTCGTGGCAAATTTGCCACGGATTTTTGCCACGGATTTTTTTTAAAAAAAATTCTACTGTATTCTTTTTTAGGAAATTAGTGGCAAATATCCGTGGCAAATTTGCCACGGATTTTAGCCACAGATTTTTTTTTAAAAAAAAATCTATTGTATTCTTTTTTAAGAAATCCGTGGCTAAAATCCGTGGCAAATTTCCCACGGATTTTAGCCACGGTTTTTTTTTAAATTAAAAAAAAATTCTATTCTATTCTTTTTTAGGAAATTCGTGGCAAATTTGCCACGGATTTTAGCCACGGATTTTTTTTTAAAAAAAAATTCTATTATATTCTTTTTTAGGAAATCCGTGGCAAAAATCCGTGGAAATTTGCCACGGATTTTTTTTAAAAAAAATTTCTATTGTATTCTTTTTTAGAAAAATCCGTGGCAAAAATCCGTGGCAAATTTGCCACGGATTTTAGCCACGGATTTTTTTTTAAAAAAATTTCTATTGTATTCTTTTTTATGAAAATTCGTGGCAAAAATCCGTGGCAAATTTGCCGCGGATTTTTGCCACGGATTTTTTTTTAAAAAAATTCTATTGTATTCTTTTTTAGGAAATTCGTGGCAAATATCTGTGGCAAATTTGCCACGGATTTTAGCCACGGATTTTTTTTAAAAAAAAATTCTATTGTATTCTTTTTTAGGAAATTCGTGGCAAAAATCCGTGGCAAATTTGCCACGGATTTTAGCCACGGATTTTTAAAAAAAAAAAATTCTATTGTATTCTTTTTTAGGAAATCCGTGGCTAAAATCCGTGGCAAATTTGCCACGGATTTTTGCCACGGATTTTTTTTAAAAAAAATTTCTATTGTATTCTTTTTTAGAAAAATCCGTGGCAAAAATCCGTGGCAAATTTGCCACGGATTTTTTTTAAAAAAAAATTCTATTGTATTCTTTTTTTGGGAAATTCGTGGCAAATTTGCCATGGATTTTAGCCACGGATTTTTTTTAAAAAAAAATCTATTGTATTCTTTTTTAGGAAATCCGTGGCTAAAATCCGTGGCAAATTTGCCACGGATTTTTTTTAAATTAAAAAAAAATTCTATTCTATTCTTTTTTAGGAAATCCGTGGCAAATTTGCCACGGATTTTAGCCACGGATTTTTTTTAAAAAAAATTTCTATTGTATTCTTTTTTTAGGAAAATTCGTGGCAAAAATCCGTGGCAAATTTGCCACGGATTTTTTTAAAAAAAAATTCTATTGTATTCTTTTTTAGGAAATTCGTGGCAAATATCTGTGGCAAATTTGCCACGGATTTTAGCCACGGATTTTTTTTTAAAAAAAATTCTATTGTATTCTTTTTTAGGAAATTCGTGGCAAAAATCCGTGGCAAATTTGCCACGGATTTTAGCCACGGATTTTTTTTAAAAAAAAAAATTCTATTGTATTCTTTTTTAGGAAATCCGTGGCTAAAATCCGTGGCAAATTTGCCACGGATTTTAGCCACGGATTATTTTAAAACAAAAAATAGTGTGTAGGGTTTTTTAGGAAATTCGTGGCAAAAAGCCGTGGCAAATTTGCGACGGATTTAGCCACGAATTTGAAAAAAACCCCAAAATTACCGCGACAATTTTATATTTCGGTTCGAATTTGCCGCGATATAATAACAATTCGTGGCTAAAATCGTGGCAAATTAGCCACGGATTGGAAATCGTGGCTAAATCCGTGGCAAATTAGCCACGAAATAATATTCGTGGCTAACTTGCCACGATTTTAGCCACGAATCCTAAAACCGTGGCAAATTTGCCACGATTTTAAATCCGTGGTTAATTTCAGCGAAAATTCAACAAACGACGTCGTCTTCATGAGCGGGTACAAATTAGGGTTCTTCTTTTCTGTTCTCACGATCGAACCTATCTCTGTCTCTTGTCTGTCTCTGTCTTCTCCCTCTTTCTCTGTCTCTGTTGCAGTTCTTCGGCGTTCTTCGGCGCGATTCTTGGCGTTCTTCGGCGGCGGACGCTGGGAAGCGAGGACACCCAGCGCGCGGTCTGCTTCTGTTGGGTTCTTCGGCGGCGTCCGAGAGTGTTCGGTCTGCTTCTATTCGGTTCGGTCTGCTTCTATTCGGTATGCTTCTGTTGGGTCTGCTTTTCGCCGTTATTTCTAGGCGTTTGCGTCTGCTTATGCTTCTGTTCAATGTATGTGTTGGGTCTACGTTTGGGTCCGCTTCGCCCGTGCTTCGCTTCTATGCTTCGCTTCGTGCTTCGCTTCGCGCTTCGCATACGCTTCGTGTTGGCGGCTTCGAGTTGGGTGCGCGTGTCCGCCCTGTGTTGGCCGGCTTTCGTGTTGGGTCCGCACGCTCGCTCGCCTTACGTGTTGGGTCCGCTTCGTTACGCTTCGTTACGTTCGTGGACGAAACAGTTAGGTTTGTTTCGCCCCACGAATTTGGTTCTATTCGTGTGCGAAACAAACCGTTTCGTGGGCGCTTCGTGCCGGCTTCGCTTACGTGTTGGCTTTCGTGGGCGCTTCTGTGTTGGGTGTTGTGTTGGCTTCTGTGCGAAACAGATTGGGTCTGTTTGTTTCGCCCACGAACAGAATCAAATTCGTGGGCGAAACAGAAACAGAACCATTCTGTTTCGCCCACGAACAATTCGTGGGCGAAACAGAATGGTTCTGTTTTGTTTCGCCCACGAATTTGATTCTGTTCCTGGGCAAAACAAACCCAATCTGTTTCGTTCGCCCACGAAACGGAACGAAACATAATCAATTTGGTCGGATTTAGGTTGAAATTTAGTTGAAATTCGTTTGAAATTTGGTCGAAATAAGGTGAAATGTTGTCGGAATGAGCTGAAATTTGGTCGGTCAAGTGGAAACGGCCCGCTGATCGAAATTCACCGCCTATGGCCGTGACGCAAGCCATTTTTTGGCTTTTTGGAGTCGTTTAGATGGGTTTTTTGCCAAAAATTGATTCTGGTGAATAGTATTTTTCGCGACATTTCCGCTTTTTTTTTTCCGTTTCGGAGTCATTTTATCATTATCTAGGTTTGAAAACTATTTCCAAGCCTTTTTTGGCCTAGGTTGAAGCTTTGGCCATCGGGGTAAAACTATTTCCGTGACATTTGCGTTTTCTGGAGTGGCTCCCTTCGAGGTAAAAATTTATTGATTTTCTTGTTGAACAGAACTTAGTGATTTACTTGCATCATAAAATTTGTTGTGAAAGTGTAACTTATTAAGTTCTAAGGCTTTCAAAACATGCAATTAAATTTTAAAACAAGTCGAATTACAGAAATTAACTGAAAATTTGATGACCCTGACCAGTTAGATGAGTTCTTCCTTTTTTACCGTTGGAGGACCAGAAATTTAGCTCGTAGACATTTCCGGACAGCTTCCTTTTTTTCAGGGGCCATCTCTCTTGCTCTCAATAACAAAATGGTAAGCTTCACGACGTACGTCATTATGTGTCCTTAATATATGTTCATAATTTTCTTTATTTTTGTCTAACCTTGCACCTTTTAGTATAAACGTGGAGGTCACATGCGTCGTGATGATACTTCACAAAGAAGATCGGGCCTTTCCTCTTCCTCGTCCTCATCCCCATCCCTTTCCGCTTCCCCTGCCCCTGCCCTTTTATCTAACCCTCAACTAGTACATGGACACATTGGCCCTTCCTCCGACCCTCAAATGCGAACTGAATTTACTTCAGTTCCATCGCCTTCGGTTCCACCTTCTTCTTCAACGCAACACTCGAATTATGAAGAAGATACCCGATTCATGATAGCCCCATTTGGAGATTCGTAAGTATTTCATTTTTTAAATATATGTGAATTATTATGGATGTCAACTGAATTGTCTGTATGCTTTACGGATGCTACGTATGTTGAAATAAGTTATAACCTGTTTGCAGATTCACGGATTCTACGCGTGTTGTGAGGAGACTTAATAAAATAATCGATAACTATTGGATGGAGCAGTTTAGTAGTTGGACCACTGCTCCAAAAGAAGTAAAGGAATTGTGGTGGAATGAGTTCAAGGTAAGTTTTGTCCTTTTATTTCCTCACAAACTAAGTTCGATTTAGCATACTGAGCGTACAATTATTTTTCTATTGATTGCTTGCAGCGGAAGTTCAGGTGGGATGAAGCGGAAGAGAAAGAAGTTAAAAGAATTTTTAAGAAGAAAGCCGGTGATCACATGCGAAATGTGATGAATAGAGCAAAGAGAAAACAAGAAAAGCCGGATTTTATTACAGCTGACAATTGGGCAGAAATCAAAAGAATTTGGGACACCGAAAAGCATCAGCAAATCAGTGAAATTAATAAGAAGAATCGAGCTTCTAGTTCTAGTGAAGGGTCTGCCACATATGCTGGGGGCTCTATTAATATCGGGGAGCATAGAAAAAGAATGGTAAGTCTTTTTTAAACATGTTGTAAAGTTAAATCAATAATTACTCATTTCATTTATGTTTATATTTTGTAGGCAGATGAATTGGGGACGGAACCAACATTTATGGCTACATTTGAACGCACCTTTCAGAAAAAAGATAAGACATGGACCGGCAATCGAGCAAAAGTTATTAAGGTATGTAAGGTTATATTTTGTATTTATATATATGAAGTTTTTTTTTTTATTTTTATTAATATTGTTAATGTAGGACAAATATGATGAACTTGTAATGAGCACGGCTGCTGCTAGTGGTGATGGTGATGGTGATGGTGATGGTGATGGTGATGGTGATGGTAGCCATCGGTTGACGATATGGCATTATGGATGGAGGCATCGGGTGGAATGAGAAGAGGTCAAATATTTGGGATGGGATCCTTGTCAAGGATGTACGGAATGCCGGCCTCGCAACTTCATCCTCCGGTGCGGCTTTTTAAGGGCACAACACGAGGAGCGAACGGACCAAGAATTGAACCGCTTGAAACAATTACTGGTACAGAAGGATGAAGAAATGAAACAGTTACTTGTACAGAAAGACGAAGAAATGAAACAATTACTTGTACAGAAGGACGAAGAAATGAAAGGAGTGAACCAACGTTTGCAATTGATCATGCAACACCTCAACCTCGAAGCTGATGACGGTCCTCCTGTACCTCCTACTAATCCAGTAGGTGATGGCCACAATGATGATGATAGTGAGATGATGATGATAATGAGATGATGCTGATGCTGATGATGATCCTTGCTAGTTTAAATTTCCAAGAGGTACTTATATCTTTGTGCTTCTGCTGTTGAATAGATGTGAAAAAATTAACAGGGGTTAGGAGTTTGATATTGTGATGTTTGCGCTGCAGATGGACAGGACTTCGATTCTTGGAAATCAATAGTTCGCCGCAACAGTTTGCCACAACGTGAAAGAACTTCTTGGCAAGATCAATAGTTTGCCACAACAGTTTGCGAACTCGCTAATTTAGAACATTGTTTCATTTCTTTCTTTTTGGGGTTTGTTCTTGTCTTGACTGTGATTTTCTATCAATGTTAATCAGATTTCAAATCGAAATCGTTCCTAAACAACATTCGTCGCTAAAGTATTCATTAAAATTCGTCGCCAAATTTGTTTTCGAATAATGTCGGCCGCAATAGTCAAAATTTTTCGTGGCAAAATACTGATAAAAAAAAAAATTTCCTGGCAAATTAGCCACGAATTTTGCCACGAATAATTCCAGTGGCAAATTAGCCACGAATTTTGCCACGAATTTTACCACGAATAATTCCAGTGGCAAATTAGCCACGAATTTTGCCACGAATAATTCCATTGGCAAATTAGCCACGAATTTAGCCACGAATTTTTTTGTGGCAAATTAGCCACGAATAAACTAGTCGAAAAAAAAAAAATTTATTAGCCATGTGATAATTAGCAACGACTTTTTGCCATGAAAATAATAGCGACGACTTTTGCCACGAATAGATCTCGTGGCAAATTACCGACGGATTCTTGTCACGAATAATATTCGTGGCAAATTAGCCATGGATATTTGCCACGAAAAATATTCGTGGCAAATTAGCGACGGATATTGGCCACGAATATTATTCGTGGCAAATTAGCGATGGATATTTGCCACGAATATTATTCGTGGCAAATTAGCGACGAATTTTGCCACGAATAATTAGCGACGAATTTTGCCACGAATTATTTTTCGTTGCAAAATTAGCCACGAATTTTGCCACGGATAATTAGCGACGAATTTTGCGACGAATTTTTTCGTCGCAAATTAGCCACGAAAATTGGAATTTTCCGTGGCAAAATTTTGCGACGGCCTATTAGCGACGAATTTTTTTCCGTCGCCAATTTCGTCGCAAATTCATTTTGCCACGAATTTTGTCGAAATTTTTCGTGGCAAAATTCGTGGCAAAACCCGGCTTTTTTTGTAGTGTTACTTCCCCAATTAAATATGTCCACATTTAGTACTAAGCAAAAAGATCAGACTAAGTATGAGGGAGAGTGTTAGAGTATCTGAATAATAAACCACATCTTTATCTAATAGCTTAAACTTTTAGAACAGTTGGCGGTGATCCCACAAAATCTTACAAAGTATACCAAAACATAAGAGCCCAAAGTCCTTTCACCGAGGGAAGATTGATGATTAAGAATCATCTTAAGGTGGCACGGTGTTGCTTCGCACCAAGGTGACGACATGACTAGTGGGCTACAAATTATAAGGCGTGATCAATCTTTGGTGTTTCAAATCATGGTGATTGAAATATTAAAATGTATGTGTGAGTTGTGTTAAAATAGTTCCACATTGGAAAATTGATTTTTTCTTTGGTCAGATCATTGGAAAATTGATGAGGGGTGGAGTAATTAATATATCCAACTTGACTCATAACTCATTGGCTCGAGCTTTTGAGTAAATGTGGGTTCAATTGAATATATTGATAGGCTCGGACTTGACTCTCTCTTGGTGGTGATCTCCTCAGGTAACTGTATCGAGCTCTGCCGCTCACTTTCGACAAGAAAATGGAGAGAGAGAGAGACTTTGGTGAAGATGTTTGCTGGCGATGAAAGCAAGTAAAGGAATTGATTCCCATTGAATTAGGAGATGAGCAGGGCAATGGTGGACGGTGGAGTCTAAGTGAAGAAGCGGAGAAAGTGACGAAGAATGGGATGCAGCGATGGAACCAAGGAAAAGAAAAGAGATGATATACTTTAGATAGGATTTCATCGTAATCGTCCCGGACTAGATGCATAAATGACAATGTTTAAAAATATAATATAAATCGATATTTTGTTAAAATTAGTCTTGAAAATTAGACATTTATCGTCACTCTACAGAAATAAAAATACAGTAAATCTAGCTGTTGCTCCACTAAGTTTACCATTCTTTCGTAAGTAAATCCCTAACTGAATAAAACTAACCCTAGTCTCATAGACAAATCATATTGTGACAAAATCAAACTCAAGTCGAATTGGCTTATAGTTGAAAATCCAAGGGCTCACGTATGCTCACATTTGCAAAAAAAAAAAAATTAGAATCACAATCATAAAACAATTGTAGGCTTTCGAAATCAAGCATTATGGTGAATCCGTAGGAAGAGGTTATTTGCCTCATCCGACATAATTAACGCGCAAATAAGCCATATGAGAAAAATTGACTCCACCACTTCAAAACACGCATCATTAAGGATCAAATCAATTAGTAAAATGGACATGCATACACATCACACTTATAGACATCATTACATGGCACGTCATCGTATGACACAACACGTCTGAAAATTCATAAAAATTTAAAATATTATCCACGTCAGCGATTCCTAGCTAAAATTAGCTAAAATGACTAAATCGGTAAATCGTCAAAATATTTATGACTGAATTGGCAAATTTTCAAAAGGTTTAAGACTAAATTGGCCAAATTAAAATGTTTAGAACTGAATTTGCATAAATGCAAGAAGTTTCGGATGTTTGTTGGTAATTTTCCCCTTTACTAATTACAATGACTAATATTTTAACCCATCACTTGGCATGTTGCTGGATCATTAATTGGGTTGACCGGACTACTTTAGCACTCTAGTGTGTTGTCTTGTGGCATGGCTCGAAGGTGTAAGCATATATATGCAGCAAAAGAGTGGTTGGGGAAAGAGACCATCTTCACATTTAATGCCAAATTCAGCAGGGGCGATTCTTTGCAAGCAAAGATAAGATGCAAATTTGTCATTGGGTCTATGCGCAGTGAGGCATCACCTAGCACAAGCAATGTCGTTCGTCTCTTGAAATAGCCATTGCTTGTTGGGTTAGCTCGTTTTAAAGTCTTATGGCAGTTCAAAGTCATTTTATTAAGTAGCTAACTTGCCATTTTCAAATACAGAAATGGAAAACGATTGGAATTATCTTACTTTCTGCACATTTCATGGATACGGTAGCTTCCCTAGATGGCTATTGATATTCATCGTGCGTTCTCGTGAAGGAAACTAAATTTTATATTGCATATATTGACGCATGCATGTACTGGATCCGGACATATGAAGTTGAAATTGTTAGTGCAACTGCATTTCTTACATTATTTTTAGGATTTATTGAATTCTGTACGGCAGGTTTTTTACTGATCAGCAATTTTTTCTGTTGAACTTTGAGATAGCTCGCTTGACGAGGCAATGGGTCTATAGCAAAAAATACATGATTTAGCAATAAAATAAATAGAATAAAGGAATCAAATCGGATACCAAATTTACTCTTTTCGGTTAGTGGGACCTACTTCACGAGAGAGTAGTACAGCATTCCACTATAAATTGAGTGATACAACGGATATTATAATTACAAACGAGTTACACAAGATTTTCGCAGTTTCAAATTCTTGCAATGTGATTCACAAGCAAGCACGCGATTAATTGTCTCGGAAAGAAGTTTTTTTGGATGCGACTTACAAAGATGACTTACTTCTTATATAGAAAAGATTTAGATCCAAAATAAGAAATCTACTTAAATTAGGAATCCAACTCAAACTAGGAAATCTACCTGGATTAGGTTTCCTTGACGGGTCAACTCGAGACATATTTTCAATAAGGTCTGAAGCACTTTACTGAAGGCATCAGTCCTCTATGATTTATTGAGATGAAAGACGTGTTTACAGAGACGTTTTTTGGCTCCTATATAATATTACAATCAACGTGAGCCAACCTTATTTCATTTACACCAAAACCTCCTTTTTTGAAATTTTTTGTAAGTAGTAGAATGCTTTTTGCTGCTAGTGGGAAATAATTAAAGAGTTCTTTTCCTTAGAAGAGAGAAAAGATAGGAAATTTCTTCATGAACACCCATTTCTTTGTCATTTTCTTTTACAATACTTGCTTGCTAGAAGCAATCTCATTACCAACAGCTTGAAGCACATATAGCTCCGAGAATCTGTAATAAAGTCAGATGAATACAACCAAAACAAGCTCGGTGAAAGAAAGGAAAACCCGGTATGGTTCTCAAATATTGAGCGACCGTCTACTCAATTAATTATTAACGACGGCAAAACATGTCTTCAAGACTTGACTCGCGATTGATTGATGGGGCAACAGGACACACGATGCTTCGAAAGGACCTCGATTTCAAATTCTGTAAAACGTATCCATCGCTGAAGCTCCACTTTTGCCCTCTTTGGTATTGTAGATGCGGGAGAGACCAGCAACATCAAAGGGCTTAAAAAGCAAAGGGTGTTGGTCGTCCACAAGCTCATCAGGACACTGAACTGTGCCTTGATCGGAAGAGAAGAGTCCTATGGAATATCGTCGCTCGT